CAGACTAGACAAGGAAAAACAAAGGACAACATGTGTGAGAGTACTTCATTTATTCATTTGCTTGCTTAAAACATTTATATAGTCTCTTATCGTCTTCCAATCCAAGTTAAAACTGGGCGGATCTTAATCTAAAGTTAAAACAACATATAAAATTTATTAAAACTATAAAACTAACAAACTAAAATATTTAAACATTAAACACAACAAGGACCTGGTGCCAAGTCATATTTTTAATGTGCAATTATCCAATCTTATCCCAGTGCTTGAGGGGAATGCCAAATACTCTCCATAGCTATATGGAAGTCTAAAAGGGCAGAGGCCTGCCAAACTTAGGGAGCAGAGTGTTCCATAGAGCAGGGGCTGCCACAGAAAAGGCCCACTTCTTCACTCCCATCAGATGGCAACATTTAAGGGAAAGGGCTAGGAGTGTGTGTCCACCTTTTCTGACCCGGTGGGACATCATCACACAAGATGCCATGAGAATAGGACAAAAGTACATCAAAGTAAATTTGAGTGATGACATCACTACATGTGGATTTTTATTTTCATGCCATCATTGTTTGCTTTGGATATTGCTATATCTAGGTATTCACCAGGAATTGAGTTCTTATTTTTATATTAGACAATAAGCCAAAATTGAAATAATCACATATTGGCTTACCATGATACACGAACCTGACCTACATGTGGGCACTGAGGTAGAAAAGAGACAAAAAAATTGTACGGCAAATATATTGTGCTGTAACTGAAGCTTTAGAGACCTGCATTTAATCAAATTACAAGATACTGACCAGACCAGTAGCAAACATGATATGGCGAATATCTTTTTACACTTCTGGAGCTCGTAATGTTTGCAGAGCGATAGCGATAGCGAGAGAGATGCTATCTAAATGTAGTATCTCTAGGCCATTTTAAAACAGAACCTTGATTATTATTGTTTATCAAAAATGAACTTGGCATTTTCAGGCCTGGAAAATACATGTGATCTGTTGAGTACTACTTTGGCAGAATCTGTTATAACATAATTTTGATGGCTAAGGAAACATAGCTACTGATGACAAAGGGACTGTTTCTTGATTGGCTGCTGCATTTATCCTTTAACTTTGAAGTAGATGACTCATATGCATTAGGAATTGGGAATGAAAGCATTCTCCATTTAGAAACTAGCTTCTGATAAAGCTCCTGGCGACTCTCAAATCTCTCATCTCTCTCTCAATCACAGTCAATCACAGTCTGAAAGTGATTAATTCTGGAGAGATTTTGGGCTGCTTCTTAGGGTTATTTTCTTCCTCTCAAATAAACTCAAAGGCTCAAAGTATGTCACGGAATTTTTCAGTATTTTTTGTAATTAATATGATACTATTTACTTTAGTGAATATTTAAAAACATTCCATATATGCTATTAATTGTAATTTGTTCTTCAACAAGGTTCTTGAAGCAGCTTTTGGTTTAAAAAATCCTGACATTTCTATATTATAAGGCAGAGCTATGCTGGCTGGAGAATTCTGGGAGTTGAAGTCCATAAGTCTTAAAGCTGCCAAGTTTGAAAACATCAATTATGAGTGTTATGTACTGACAGATTGGCGCATGCGTGTCCATGATATGGGATATGGTAGCATGTAGGAGACAATAGATAATAGGTGCTTCTCTCCAGAGGCAGTAATTCACACACACTTTGTTGGTTAGTTTTATATATTTAAAATATATACAGTATATTGTATGTCTCCATATTACATATAATAATAGAGCTATGATTCATCCCAGCATAATGAGGTTTAATTTTCTATGTGAAACCATATCCATTGCTTTACACTGTTTTCTGATTGCAGTGCTTTTATGCCTTAGCTTTTCTCCCGAGAAGTCTCTATGCATCCATCCCAAATCTTTCATTAAAACAATGAAAGAATCACTGATTGTGCAACTGGACTGGTAGGGATTTTTTTTTAATCTTTGTTCCTCTTACTCATTGTTACTTGCAAAACTTTCTAATCTCAACCCTTAAAGCTTTCTTGAAAAAACTAGAAAGGAAACATTTTCAGAAAGAGACAAAAGAGAACAGAACCTTGTTGATTTATGTCTGTGCAGTTTGTTTGGCAGCAGTACAATTTGTTTATTTGAAGTTCATAAATCCAGAGATGAAGTTCATAAATCCAGAGATGAAGTGGAATAAAGTTTAGGAGCTGCTGGGTGAGGCATGGAGCTTAGTTAGAGCCAGATAGAGTGTGGGACTAATCAGAAAGGGGGCACAGCACAATACAGCAAGAGGGGGCCTACTCAAATCCACACAATCATAAATGTGGCTTTGGTCTTTCAGTATAATTTCCCATTTTTTGACATTAATATACCCTGCCCTTTTTTGCAGCTCTATTTGCTATCTTAGCAATTGAAAGCATCACCAAATCAGAGGCGCAGAATCTTACAGCAAAATAATTTGCCATGGATTAGTTATCCAAATTATTATTATTATTATTATCCCTAATTTGTTGGCTAACTTAAAATTGCTAAATTTTGGGGATTAATGATAAAGATCTTTTTTTCCTATCTTGTGGTGAGCCACAAGAGAGAGTCTTTTGATAGCAGTTTCCACATTGTAGAGTTCCCTACCAAGAGGTTTGGGGATTAGCTCAATTTTTATCATAATATCTGCCCTTTCCACTGAAAGGGAATAATAACATAATTTAATCACTACCTCATATTGAATTGCTGCTTCAAGAGATCTGTTCTTATGACTTGGAACTACAAATTCATCAGGCTGTGTTGAGATACAATTTCCTGTGTAGATGGAAGATCAACTCCCACAAGCTGCACAAAGCTTCATAATTAAATCAAACCAGTTCCACCAATATTCCAAATATATTGCAATTGATTGATTATATGTCATCAAGTTGCGGTTGACTCTTAAAGATATATGGATAGATTCTCTCCATGAATAGCTGTCCATAATCTGATCTTTCATGTCTTCCAACACAATAACCAGTGCAACTGAATCCATCTACCTTGTTATGTTGGTCCTCTTCTCTTTTCTTTCCTTCCAAATTTCCCTGCATCAGAACCTCCTCCAAAGATCTGGGTCTTCAGATAATGTATCCAAAGCAGGATCATTTTAATCTAGTCATTTGTGCCTAATGTGAGGTCTTGGACTGCTTTGTTCAATGATGCATCTGTTCTTTTTTTTTTTTTTTTATGTCCACTAAATTATCAACTGCTTATCAAAGAAAACAGCAGTTAGGTCACAGAGATGCCAATCACTTCCAGGGAAGAAATTGCCCAACCTGAAAACAGCTTTGTTCAGACCAGAGTTGACAGCCATGTCAGGATGAAAAGCCGGCATGATAGACTAGTACTTTGGTATTCTTCTCCAGACCAAGAGAGAACTGGGAATTGCCCACATGTGCTCCAGACAGTTGTTCCTCACAAGGAGACCGCCAGGCAATGGGCTAGAGGTCTAGGAAATAATGGATCACCACATCTTTGCCCAAACCATAACTGGTACTTTTATGGATACAGGGGTTCACATACTTCCTTTCTTAATTACTTTTGGAAATTGCTTATTAACTGCTTTTCAGAGCATCATGTTATACTACACTAGGCGAGTTTCCTTCAATCCCTATCAAAATAAACAGAAATTTAAGGATTTAAAAATATTTTGGGGGAATAAACTGCAAAAAAGTGACTTAAATATTGATTTTGGAAAGTTACAAATGGACTAAATTGGATTTAAAATTTATTTATTTTTGAAATAACATTTTGAAAGTAATTATAAGAATCTTTCCTGTGGGAACATGCTGCTGTTTTGAATATTTGAAATATGTAAGTTATGTAAGATTTTGAAGCTTTGATACTAGAAGGAACCAGAAGGTACTAAAGGTTATAATTAAGGAGAAAAACACTTAATCTTATTAATACAGAATGAGGCTACATAATGTATTGAAGGATAGTCATGAATAAGGAATCAACAAGATAATTTTGGAACCATATGCCATTATAAAAAGACTTGAGTTTAGAAAATATTGAAGAGGAGGAAATTTTACCAGATAGGTCTAAGACTGATTTGAAAGTGGATTTAAAAATTACAGACTCTGGGAATGATCTGGAACAATAAGTTACACTGCATCTACAAATGAAACTGATTGATATTTTAACAAAGAAAAAGAGTGAGCTGGATAACTTTCTAATATTGGAGTTAAAAGATATTTATTAAAGTGAGAAAGAAAAAAATGACAAGAAATCAAGTTCTAGGATTGTGAAAAGTAAAAGAAAGGAATATAAAGTTGGCTTGTTTGATCAAGATTAAAATAGGTATGTTATTGTCTCTGGTAGCCTTTAATGACCAGGACTGAACTTTATAAAGTTCCGCTTTAAAAATGTTATTTATAGAAAACAGAAATGGAAGAAAAGAGATCATTTGTTGTACTTTAAGCATTACTTTATTAAAATGAGCCCTGGTGGCATAGTGGTTAAAGTGCAAGATTGAGGCAAACTCTGCCCACAGCCTGGAGTTCGATCCTGATGGGGCTCAAAGTTGATTCATCCTTCCATCCTTCCAAGGTCGGTAAAATGAGGACCCAGACTGTTGGGGACAAATAAGCTGATATTGTAAACCACCCAGAGTGTTCAGATAGGGCAATATATAAGGGCTATTGCTAAATTTAGACTTGTTAGGATTTATTTCATTTTCTTTACTCCAGAAATAGGCTGGTGTTGTAAATTGGACAGTGTGATTTATGGGATGTGTATTAGCTTTAATATTGTGATTATCAGTTTTGGTGGGCTTTTATTAGATGCCTTAGAGAAGCGACATCAGGCGGGATACAGATTCGGCTAAGAAGCAACTTACGGGAGGGAACACCTGGGCGCCACCCCCCCCCCCCCCCTCCCCCCCCCCCCACCCATCCCCATTCCGCCAGCTCGCGCACGCCCTGCGGTTCATGTCTGGCGTGCGCGCCCCCGCGCAGCGGATTCCTCGGACAAGGATGAATCGCGCGTGCGCGCGCCCCAGCTCAGCAAGAGCAGCCACAGGCACAGGCGCAGGCGGGACTTGACACGGAATTGGCGCTGCGCGGAGCAGCGAAGAGCGGGGAGAGGCTGCGTGGGGATGTCAGGCGGGACGGCCGCCGGGTCGACTGACTGAGCGCCCGATTGACGCCGCCTTTTTTTTTTTTTTTTCGGAGCGTCGTGATTTCCCATCCGGAGCTGTTCTTCTTCGGCCGCTCCGTCAAGCTCGGTTCCTTCTTTTCTGGAGGTGAACCCATTCTCAGCAGCTTCGCGCCCCAACGGGTTAACCTGCCCTCCTCCTCCTCCTCCTCCTCTCCTGGGTCTTTTTGGGCTGCAGTTAACTTGAGTTCTTTTTAGGGTTTTTTTTTTTCCTTGCTTCGCTTCGCTTTCTCCTCCCTATCCCGAAGCTCCTCCTCTCCTGCCCCATATATTACTGCCGTTGTTTCTCGCCCCCCCACCACCTTTCCCTTCTCTCAGCCAGCAAGATTGGTGTCCTTCCCAGGGTGCTTTATGAAGTCACACCTGCCCTAGCTCCCTCCCTGCGCCCACTGGTCCGATGACAATCTGCTGAAGCGGCTCCCCTTGTTGTGCAAGCCGTTTCTCGCTTTAAAAAGAACAAAACTCCGCTCTGCTGGAAACAAGACAATTGCCCTTGAAGTCCTTCCAGATCTTTTCCCTGCTTTGGTTGCTGTTGTTGTTGTTGTTGTTGTTGTTTTCCCCTTCCCCATCCTGGATTTCGGATTTACCTTCTTGAGTTGCCCTCTGACAGAAGAACGAGCATGTCTCTGCTCCATCGCCTGATTTGTTACCTGCAGGATGCCGAGAAAGTTGCCCGTTTCCAAAAACTATGCGGCGTGGAAGCACTACCAGACTGGAGGTCTGTCTCCTCTGCTCAGACGGTGGACGCAGAGCCCCCCTTGGCCAACGGGAACTGCACCGCTGCCAAGCCCCAGGGTGAAAGTGGCAGGCGACGCGGGTCCCCAGGTTCTTGGAACACGGAGGAGAAACATGAGGAGAGCCACTCAAATGGTATGAAGAATGGGATGGTTTCTGAAGACACCTGTGGAGTGGAATCTCAGCCAGCATCCCTAGAGAAGCGGAAAAAATGGGTCTCAAAAAGCCACCCTCGCCGCAACTCTCTAACTGGAGAATCCATATCGCAGAAGTTCAGAATCCATAATTTTTTCCTTTATTACCTCTTCAGCTTTGGCACAGAACTGGGCAATGAATTTTTCTACATGGTGTTTTTCTCCTTCTGCTTCTGGAATGTGGATCCTTGGCTGGGCAGGAGACTCATCATCATTTGGGTTTGGATCATGTATTTTGGTCAGTGCACCAAGGATATTATCCGTTGGCCAAGGCCTGCTTCTCCCCCGGTAGTGAAGCTGGAGGTTTTCTACAATTCTGAATATAGCATGCCCTCAACTCACGCCATGGCAGGCACTGCCATTCCTGTCTCATTATTTCTACTCAGTTATGGACAGTGGCAGGTAAGAACTAGTTTATATTAAGATATTTCATGTTTGGTTGTGGCTGGTGAAACAATTTCCTGAATATATGAAACAGATTTTACTTTTCTAATCCATTTTAAAATGGAAAGTATCTGTTCCCAGGTAAATGCTTAGATAGCTAAGAATTTTGGAGCATTTTAACGGCATGAGAATTAGTTCTGAAGCCAGATGATATAGGCCATGCCTGAATTTGAAAATTAAAAAAAAACAAAACAGTAAATTTACTTTCTGTTCCCTTAGTTAGAATTTTGAAGTATTTTCTACATTACTGAATTGATTTAGAGATTTGTCACAATTTACAGAGGAGATTAGTAAAGCATTCCAGAATTTTTCCTATCTTAAATAATTTTCTTCAGTTTAGAAGAATTCTAGTAAACTAACATTTAAGTTCTAATATATATAGGGCCCATTTCCCTAAAAACATTGATGGTTTTTTTTGAAAATCTTGAAACCTAGAATCAAATTCCGGTATCAAAATGGAAAGCAAGGCTGCATATTTTTCACAGGATTGTGTTTTGTCAATGTATCAAAATGTATAAAATTATTTGCCATAACTTGAACAAGTCGTAATTTAACTTTCATTTTGAATGCTCTTATTGTTTGCAACAGCAAAGTTGATTTTTACTTTAAAAACACATGCTTAACTCATTTAAACGAGTGGTCAAATCCACCATAAATGCTAAATCTGTGAGCCATTTTTCAGCTTCAAATTGTGGCACAAATTTTCTTTTTGATTCCATAAATGACTTGATTTTATTTTGCAAATCATAAAAACTTCAATATTTTACCCCGACTTAATTATCTTACTTCAGAAAAGTAAATGATATCCCTATAACCAGCAACCATACCTTTAAGGTACTCCTGGAATTGGAAGTGATTCAGTCCCTTGGATCTGGAAATTCACAGCTTTGATGACAATTTGCATGACATCCATGTTCAAAACTTTTGCACATAATTTTTTTTATATATATGATGCAGTGATATTTCATCAAGCATCAGTTGCTGGTGGCAATTGCACCATCTTCTAACAGTTTTAAAAGTTTCTCTTTTTTTACAAACCATACCTGTGGTGCTATCAGTAGCTACACCAAATATGTTTGTAAAAAAAAATAGCTTTAATGTAATTTTTACTGCATCATACAAATCAAGACATTTAGTTATGTCTTTTAATGGCACCAAAGAAGCCATTTCTTCAGTGAAATTGTACTCAATTATCCATGCCCCTAATAAAAATGGGAAGTTGAGCCATTTTGTATTTGTAGCATCAGTACTTTCATCTATTCCCAAAGGATAAAAATTTAAATTAGCAGCTTTACTCTTCAAAGCTCTTTTAATAGATTTACCTGTTTCATCAATTTGCCTGGCTATAGTGTGACAAAACCAAGTGATTTTAGAAAAAATGTTTTTTTAAAAATCAGGACAATGTGTCATGCTTTCCATACATTGTTTAACAAACTTATCATCAAGAAATAGTTTTGATTTTTTTGCAATCAGACATGCTACCACATAATTAACTTGCAAATAGAGTCTGTTTGAATTGAAATTTTTTTAAAAAATGTTGAGATGACAATTTTTTCAGTTCTGCTATTTTGTCTTTATGAAACAATTCTTGATATGCATTGAATTTAGCCCAACATGTTTTTGCCTATAATGTCCTTTCAAGTTGTAATCTTTGAAAACTGATACAATTTCCCTACAAATTAAGCATACTGCCTTATTATTTGTCTCAACAGAAAAGTATTTGTCTGACAATGTTTGTTTGAACACTTTTGCTTCATTCACAATTTTTGGGGTGTTCTGTTTTTTTTGACATGATGTTGAAGCCATGTTTAGGTAAAAAAATAATAAACAAGTAACCATTTTTTCAAGTATTAGCAGTGCTGTATATGTAAATGTATCAATATGATAAGCAAAAAACTGTTTCATTCATTTTTGTAGTTACTCCAAAATAGCTGCTAAAAAGTTTTTATTTAACTTATTAAATTATTTTACGAAGTAATACATCAAGCCCATGTGCAAAGTTAAACAAGAAAACTTACATGTCTGTAAGCATGTAAGCTTAGCATTTTTTTGCTGGGTTAATAACAATAAACACCTGTCTTCACAGGCACACGTACATCATATTTATCACATAGGTATTATTAGTAAACATTGCATTTTACTTGCCTAGTCATACAAGCGCATGTAACATCTGAAATATGCAGTTTTTCACCCTCCCATACACAGTGTTCCATTGTCACCTACACCAGGGGTGTTAAACTCGATTTCATTGAGGGCCACATCAGGATTGTGTTTGACCTTGGGGGGCAGGGGTGAGTGGCTAGGGTGGGCACAATCAACTCGACGTCACTCATGTCAGCCCTCTGCCAGTGGGCCCCGTTTTCATCTGGGACAGCCTCCTGCAGCCTCTGCCAGTGAAAACAGAGCTCGGGGTGGGTGCATGCAGCCCTGCCGGGCCACGTTTTCAGCCTTGATGGCCTCCTGCAGTCCTCTACCAGCGAAAATGTTGCTCGCCCCCCCCCCCCCCAGCTCTTTTTGCTGGCAGAGGGCTGCAGGAGGCCGTTGCAACTGAAAATAGAGTCTGGAAGACCCTCCCAAATTTCATTTTTGCTGGCAGAGGTACCATGGGCTGGTCCTTCGCTGTTTCCAGGGCGGCCCTGCAGGCCAGATCTAAGCACCTCATGGGTCAGGTTCAGCCTGTGGCCTTGAATTTGACACTCCTGACCTACACATTCTGCACTCAAGTACCATGCAGTCAAATCATGAAAAATATTGCTAAAATCACATAATAATGTTATAAGTTTACAATCTTGTGGGGCCACATTATTAGCTGTCCAGAGCCTCCTGCAGCTTGTGGACTGTGGGTTGGACAAGCCTGCTCTAGAATATTTAGTATTCATTCTACTGTTGTCTTTCATGTTTTCCGTCCATAAAGCTATTGCATGTTTCTGGAAACCACCTTATGATAGAAGTTGCTTAAGTTAGAAATGAATTTGGGTGGATAGGAATTATGACATAATACTTTATATATATAGTTTTGACATAATTATGACAACATATTACTAAATTAATAAAAGTTGTATCTATGATTCTGTTGGTGAAGTTCTGTTTAACTTTTATATTTCCTTTCATTAATTTTAAACTATTGTATTGGTTAAGATTGAAATCCTTCCTTCTATACTTTGATAGAGTTTTTCAGTTTGCAGGCAGCTTCCAGTCTAGTAAAATGAAGAGATTTCCTTCCTATCAATCTGCTCCAAATGGTCAAGGGAGTTATAGGGAAAGGAAGGAACTAGTACCAAGTCTATTTTTCCTTCCATCATGGAGATACCGGTATGTGAGAAAGACTGAGATTTTCTCAGTGATTTTACCACTGGCCATGCCTTGTTATCTAAGACATCAGGGAAATTAGTAATAAGTGAGTGAATAACAGTTTATTATGCAACACAGACTATGGAAGCTATTTCTTTTGCAAAACACAAAGTTAACTTTAGTATAAGAAATCCCTACCTTCTTCACTGGATCAGCCATTCACTAGTACACCTTTGGAGTTAACTGGGTTTTTTCTGTTCAGATAATTAGGACTGTACTAAATATGTTCCTGAAATTTATCATACTGTATTCCAGAGTGAAAATGTCTAGATTACTGCAATTGGGAAAGAATAAATAGTACTATATAGTTATTTGATATATTTTAAATATGAATCCTTGGGAGCATTGGCCTTCCTTAATTTAAACTATCCACATACTTGTCATTTTTCCCTCTCCAAAAATATTTAAAGAGACTCCTTCAAAGAATGTGAATATGCTCATTTTAAATATTATTATTCTGGGTCTCTAATAGCTGAGTTATAGGACATATGAGTATCTTATAAAGATTTGAAATTCTACTAGCTGAGGAGCAAACATCAGGCATTTTGATAATACAGTGAAGTGTTGCTGAGGTTGCAGTATCTATAGAAACTTCTAATGCATAAACGCCAGAGGCAAGTCTTCAGTGCTTCATGTACAATTTAATCAAGTCAAAATTATTTTAAATCAGATCAAGATGGAAATCTCATCTCTGATGCATAGTTTAAAATATTGGTGAACTTTTAAATTAAATAATATAAAGGCTATGAGAATTATTCTTTTGGAATTATTAGAAAAGGAATCAAAAAGGAAACAGGCCAAATAATGATTTTTTATAAATATGAATATTTGCAATACTATGCGTAATTCAGGTCTCCTCTCCTTAAAATGGATAGCTGAAAGATGAAAAGGTCCAGAAATGGCAGTCTAAATAATTACAGGTCTACAATATGTTTATTATCAAGAAAAAAAATCCAGTATTTATTTATCTCATAGATTTATAGGGCTGGCCAACTCAAATAAAATGGCTGAATAGCATATAGAACTTGTAGTTAATTTGGAGCTTTTTAGTTAGTAAGTACAAATATTTCTCTTTCTGTCTGGGAATAACATGTACCAAGAAGAATTTATTTTCTGGAAACTGCTTCTGTTTGATTGCTGTGAGATGCAAAACATTGAACTAGATAGGCTATTGGGCTAATCCAATAACAGCATTTCATGCAAGTTCCATTGTTGACAACTGTTTTATATATTACTTTTTACCCTTCTAACATAAAACATTCATTCCTTCATTACACACACACAAACATGCACGCATGCTTTAGGCCATAAGTAACTAGCTTTAAATAAAATGTTTCATGCATTTACTGATCAATCAATTTATATATTTGCAAAGTAATCACTGGATTGTTTTCTAATTGAGTTATGTGGTATGGTGATTAAAGCTAAAGTCTTATCATTAGTTATGGATGCTCACTGGAAGACTGTAAATGCAACAAATCATTGACTACACTAGGGAAGACATTGATGGTGTCATGAAATAGTACCTCTTGACATAGAATTCCTGTCCAGCTAGGTCCATTCAGGTTTTTCTAATTATATGTGGGGCTTTTTGTTGATGCCTACTT